AAGTTAAGTCTGCTTCTTTTTGTGAACTTTATGTGTCTTTGTGGTTTACTTTTTGGGCATGAAAGGCTGGTTCTTCTTAGCTTCTGGTTCTCTCTTTTGATTTTATATTGAAGTGGCCGCATTGCTTTTGTCTTCAGGAGTTCCCACAAAGGCCCAATTCAGATGAGGGTCAGATGTTTTCAGGCTTTCTCCTAAGGTCTGAATCCCTCCTGGAATGATTTTGACCTCAGGAATTTGGGTGTTGGACTGGCCTGGGAGCCTGGCCCAGGAAAGATCCTGGTCTAGGGCAGCTGGTGGCCAAGCCACCCAGAGATGCAAAGGCAGATGGGGAAGGAAGAGGCCCCAAGGACTTCTGGGGACTGTACTGAGGAGCTGTGTTGGTCTGGATGCAAAGAGGAAAGGTCAGCCCCGAGTCCCAGAAAGAGGCCAGCTTTGGTGCAGGCCCAGGGAAGCAGAGGGATGTGAGGGTGGGGCCAGGCTCAGAAGCAGTGCTCCTAGGGCCCAGAGAAGGCACTACTTTTGTCTGGATGAAAAGGATCAGGAAGCAGTATTCGTTCCCCAGGTGTCTGGGGCCACAAGACAAGGAATGGGGCAGCACCCAAACTAGGAGGAGAGACTGGTGGGGGAGATGGGAGGGTGAATGAGGCTGGGGGAGTCAAGGCACGGAGGGCACAATGGACTTACCCTGATGACAGGCCTGTGGGTAAATGGAGATCTTTATAAAGATTAAAATCTCATTCAATTTTATGTCTTACAGGGTTTATACTGAGTTCAATATTGTATAACTGCATTAATTCAACTGTGAATCTAAAAATTTACAGCCACTTTTGAAAGAGATGTATCTTTGCTCTGGAAATTTTTATTGAATATGTTAAAGCTGTAATGAAATGCTTCTTCTAATCATGCGGTTATTAAATAAATATTTTTTAAAAACTCACCTACTATTCTCTAGATATAAGCAAGAATTGCCAATTTTGTGTTTTTATTTCAACACTGAACATAGTTCATGAATGGAAAAGAAATATAAATGTATGAAATTAGTCTAAGGTTTGTGATTAGGTAGCCAGGTAGATAAACTCAAAATTTCTCAAAGTATAATAAATCTTCCCAGACTTACACAAGCATCTTTGTGGCTTTTGAGGTTATGGAGTGAGAATTCAGTATTGGCTCAGCTACTGAACTTTTCCTACCATAGGATGTAAATTAGTGAGTATCCCAGACCATACAGGCTTCTTAGGTAATTTTGATCACTCACAAGAGTGATGAAATATTTGAAGTTTGGAGGGGCAAGTAGGGTTGAAACCCAAGGTTGTGCAATGTGCAACTTCAACAACTATCCAAAGCGGTCATACTGATACAGGATGATGGAAATATCAAATCCACAGATGTCAATTCATGATTATTTACAAAGAACTCAGTCCTAGAGGAACATTACATTTGAATATTTGAAATGACCCCCCCAGGCACATATGTTTGAACACATGGTCCCAGCTTGTGGTGCTGTTTTTTAAGATTATGGAACTTTCAGGAGGTGGAAACTTGCTGGCAGAAGAAATCACTGCAGGTGGGGTGCTTGAGGTTTTATAGCATGTAAGAATTACTTTTCTGTTGTTGTGATAAAATACCATGAGCAAAAGCAACTTAAGGGAGAAAAATTCATTTTGGCTGAGATTCCAGGAGATCTAGAGTTCATAATGGCAGGGAAGGTATGGTATGCTGGCAAGAACAAGAAGCTACTGATCACATTTTTCATCCATACACAAGAAGGAGGAAGGGGGAGAGAGAGAGAGAGAGAGAGAGAGAGAGAGAGAGAGAGAGAGAATTACTTCATCAAGGCTCTACCTCTTAAATGTCCCATAACCTCTCCAAACAGTAGCAACATTGAAGGACCAAGTGTATAAATGCATTAGCCTATGGGGAACATTCTCTTTCAACCTACCACATATCCTAACCCCACTTCCTGTCTGTTTTCTACTTCCTGACTGCAGATGCAATGTGACTACCCATCCAACACTCCTGCCACCATGCTTTTCTCCTCCATGATGGACTGTATCTGCTCCAACTGTGAGCCAGAATAAAGGAAGCTTTAAGTGTTTTTATGAGGATTTTTTGTCACAAGCTATGTTAAAAATAATATAAGGCAGAAGAGGGTTTTTGATCCCCTAAAACTGGATTTATGTACAGTTGTTAGCCTCCATGTGGGTGCTGGGAATAGAACCTGGGTTCTCTGTAAGAAAAGCCATGATCCTAACCCCTGAGCAATCTCTCCAGCCCCAAGTATTTGATTTTTGAGTCCCTGGTCGAGACAGTCAATTTCTGTGGTCACCGCCAGCAGCGGCCTCTCCTCTGTTCTCGTGGGTGCCACTCCTTCATTCTCACAGGCGTCAAGGCTGTGCCCTGGGCTGAGGCCACTCTTCTGCCTGCCCTGGGCTGAGGCTGTTCTTCTGCTTGCCTGGTGCTGAGGCAGCTCTTCTGCTTGCCCTGTGCTGCCTCCTGTCATTGCTGCTTCTGCCTGGTCCCGGACCCCAGGGCTGGTGAGGAGACTGTGTCAGTGGAGCCGCATTCAGACACAGGAGACCAGGTTCAGTGACACAGGTCTGGTTTATTGCAGGAAGGCACAAGCTTATATAGGGATAGTGGTCCAATCACAGCACAGTGAGTAAGATACCTTATTAGCATAACAGGTTTAATGTCTTATCACAGTACAGTAAGTAGGATACCTTATTAGCATAACAGACTTAGCATCCTATTAGCATAACAGACTTAACATCCTATCACAGAATAGTGGGTAGGATGCCTCATTAGCATACTGGGTTTGAGATTACAGAGCCTGGATTCCTGGAAACCACATGACCCTGACTCTTGCAATATCTAAGTGTTGCAATTTTGAATTCCAAGGGTGGTGATTAGGGAGTGGTGAGCTCTAAGCATCAGTCTCATGATCTGCCAATGGGAGCAAATGTCACAAGGTGTTCCTTGTGGCTCCAGCAGTCAGGCCATTGCCTTGGACCTGCTGTATGGCTGTCATTAAGACTTTCACCCTAGGCTCAAGCCTGTCTCTCACAAATTTCAATAGCCTGGTATAAGATGAGGTGCTGTTAACATGGGATTCAGTCTCTTTGGATGATGGGAGAGGTTGACTAGCCTGAAGAACCAGTCATGTGGCTGTTGCTCCAAATTAATCTTTGGGTTATACATATTTCAGGATGTATCTTCTATATTACTTATTTAGAACAGATGCCTATTGTGATTCAGTGATACTAAAAATAATGAAACCACCACCCTGTAGTAAGCCATCCACCATGAGCCACTGTATTAACTGAAGCAATAATGCATGCTACAAAATTTTTTTAACTAATCACCTTGAATGTTGCTGTATTTAATTCCAACTTTTTCACCAAGTGTGAATCAAAGTTAAGACATAACTTAAGACCTAGTGAGATTGCTCGTGTGTAAAGGCTCTTGGCACCAAGCCTAATGCATTGAGTTCCCAGCATCTACATGGTAGAAGGAAAGCACCCACTCCCACAAGTTGCCCTCCAACCTCCACATATGCCCCATGGCCTACATGCACATGCACACACATACACAAAACAAACAAATACAGCAAGTTCTTAAAAAGATATAAATTGAGGCCTAAGTCCAAAGCTCGTTATTTTTGTAGTATTATATTGCTTTTACTTTGTCTGATTGTATATAACCAACTCTATTTTTTTCTATTTTAAAATGTTTTCTAAATGTTTATCTTCTGATTTTTTTGAAAGTTTGTAAGCTTTGCCATTTAAGACAGCTATAGGCAACATAACTTGAACTTTAAAGACATTTTTTGAAAGAAAAATTTTACTTTAAAATAAATATGTACTTGCTTTGGCAGCACATACACTGAAAAATTGGAACAATACAAAGAAGATTAGCATGGCCCTTGTGCAAGGATGACACACAAATTCGTGAAGCATTCCATGTTTTAAACTAAATAAATAAAATAAAGAAATATAAATTATTTTCCTTCTTGTAATGCTATTTCTCCATAATGAAATTGGTTCTTAAAAGAGCAACATACAGGACTGGAGAGATGGCTCAAAAGTTAAGAACACTGGTTGTTCTTGCAGAAGACCTGGGTTTGAACCCCAGAATCCACATGGCAGCTAACAACTGTCTGTAATTCCAGTTCCAGGGGATCCGACAGCCTCTTCTGTCCTCCGTGGGCATTGCACAACATGGGTGCACTTACTTACATGCAGGCAATACACACATACACATAAAATAAAAATAATAAATAAAATATTAAAAAAAGAGCAACACACAAGAATGTGTACATGGAAAAAAGTTCTAAGAACTGGTTCATCAAAAAATAAAATTTAGTTAACAAAATGAAATATATCAGGTTTGGAGAGATGGCTTAACTGTTAAGAGTGCTGGCTGCTCTTGCAGAAGACCTGGGTTTGGTTCCCAGAACCTATATGGTGGCTAACAACTGTCTGTAACTCCAGGTCCAGGGGATCCAGTGTCCTCTTCTGACCTCTGCAGGCACTGCACAACACTGGTGCACTTACACACATGCAGGCAATATACTCATACACATAAAATAAAATAAAAACAAAATACTTTAAAAAGAAATATATCTCATTTATACTTATTGTCATAAATGATACATTTTTTGATTATGTGCATCTTTTCTTTATATTTCTTCTGTGCTTCCTCATAGTAAAAATCATGCTAGAACTCTGTGTATGGTAGGCAATTTGTTGACATTTGTGGACACAGTGAGGTGTTTGGCATCAATTAGGAGAGAACATTTAAAGTTAAAATCAGGTCACATCTTAGCTTCTAGAGTGGAATCACAAGGGAGCCTGAGGTTTGCATCTTCTTCTGTCTCCTCTTAGAAGTTAAAGAAGTTTCCTCTCAAGAAACCTTGATAAATATGGTAGAAAATTCAGGGAGCATTACAACATTATACAAACAGTTACCTTCGCATATTTATAGCCAGATCTCATTAAGTTTTATTAAAACTTGAATCTGTGACATGTTGGATGGAGGCTGAAGGAAGTTTACCAAATTAACAGTGTAAATGAATTTGCAATGAGCGTGTTGTTCCCACTTAAAGAGGTTACAAGCATTTGAGAAGCATCTGTGATTAGATAAATTAGTTGGTGCTAAATATATGATAGATTATTAATCGAATCTAGGGGGTCTCAGGAGACAGCTACAATCTACAGCAAGTTAGTACGTTTCTCTGTGCCTTGGTTTCCTTCTCTTTGAAATCTGGGTAGGGTCAACTAACTCAGAACCCTGCTATTAGAACCAAATAAGGAAATACATACATTCACATACATATGCACATTTATACACACATATACATATTTACACAGAAATACTCATACTTACACATGTAAATATACATTTACACACACATAATTACACACACACATATATATATATATATACAGAGAGACACATACACACATAAACACATACAAAACCACACATGCACCCAAAACATGCATATATACATATACACTTATACAAACACACATGCATAAACACACATAATACACATATACACAAAGACACATACATACACACACACATGGATAAGTTGGAGGTGAACCTCAGTGCTGTACTCGCCTACAATGTGTACAGTCCTAAGTTCAAACGCAAGCACCACAATCAATCAGTCCATCCATACATCCACATAAAAATGCATGCATACATAAGTGGACCAACTGAAGGTTAATAGCACAGATTTGGCAAGCAGAATTAGGTGGGAATCTGCTTTGTCAAGAGCAGAGTGACCATAAGCAAACTATCACCTGTCTCCCATCAGTTGCCTCATTTGATAAATGGGTAGAATAATGTCATTGGACTATTGAAAAGAGAAATGTACAACACATCAGCCAGTGCCTGATGCAGGGCATGTGCTCAATAAAATTGATACATTATCACCAAACTAGCAGTAATATTATGTGAGCAAGTTCTGATGGGCAACCAAGAGTAGGGGCAGTAGCCAGTATTGTTTGAGGGTCTATGGAACCCCTGGTCAACAGCTTCAAAAGAGGGAGCCCATTCCTGGCATTGGGCTTTTACTTTGCTAGCCTATGGTATCTAGTAGGGGCAATGTCCCCCTGTTATAAGGTAACTCCTTTAATCTCTTTTTATAGTGTGTATGTATAGACTTTAAGAAACTTCTGTAGTGGCAAGTTTCCATATGGATTTTTCTAAAGGTCTTTAGTGTTAATTATTTCTCACCATACTCTTACACTGCCTTACCTTCCCATTCCCCACTCCATTCAACCCTTCCTACTCCATTATTCCCCTTTTACACTTCATATCATTGCATTTTATCTCCCCTCCCATGAAGCCTCCCAATGCCATGGTTGTTTATTACCTTCCTGACTTCTCTGGATCTTCTAATTCAAACCTGAATATCTAAGCATTCAAAGCTAACATCCAGGTATGGGAACATATGACATTTGTCTTTCTGGTTCTGAAATACTTCACTCATGATGATTCTTTCCAATTCCACCCATTTACCAGTGAATTTCATAATTTAGGCTTTTTAAACAGCTGAATGATTTCCCATTGTGTTAATGTGCCGGCAATGCCCTTTTGTGAGGGTTCATCCACTGGAGCCTGGTGAACCTACCAAGAGTCTTTCCCTTTCATGAGACTGAATCTCCCTTTCCAGTAGCCATCAGTTGCCAATTGTTCCTAAGGTGGGATTGGGGTTTCTTACCCACTTCACATCTATGCTGCGATTTGTCTGCCTTGAGTTTATGTGGGATTTGTCCAAGCTATCACCATTGCTCTGAGTTCATATGAGTAATTGGCCAGCTGTCTGGAAAACCCTGTTTCCTTGTGGTCATCCGCTTCTGACTCTTACAATCTTTCAACTGCCTCTTCTGCAATGATCCCTGAGCCTTCGGAGTCAGTTTGATATAGGTGTCCTAATCAGGGATAAGCACTCTGTAGTCTCTTTTTCTCTTGCACATTGGCTAGTTATGATTTTTTCTGTTAATCACCATCTGCTGTATAAGGAAACTTCTCTGGTGAGAGTTGAGAGATGTATTAATCTATGGATATAATAAAAGTCATGACAAATCAGTATAATACTCTATCTGTTTAGCAGAATAGTTGTATTAGGCCTTCTCCCACGGCCTGTAGGCTGTCAAGCCTCAGGTTCCTAGGCCTGATATCAGTGTCAGATATGGACTCCATCCTAAGAAGTGGACCTTAAATCTAATGGGAAAGTAGTTGGTTACTTCCATAATATTTGTGCCACTATTGTACCAGTGGGCATATCTTGTCAGGCCGGTTGTTTTATAGATTGAAAGAGTCACAGGATTCACAGCTGGGTAAGGTTCATGCTAAATTTTCTCTTCAGGTAGTGTGCATAGCACTCTTCAGCACTATAAAAGCTAGCAAAGCAGTAAGATATAAAGTTAACACCCTAGAGGCTGTAGAGATGACTCAGCAGTTAAGAGCACTGGCTGCTCTTATAGAGGATCTGGGTTAGATTCACAGAACCCACTTGGTGGCTAACCACTGTCCTTAACTCCAGTTTCATTCTTAAAGTCCTCTTCTGGCCTCATGGGCATTGCATGACACAGGTGCACTAACACACATGCAAGCAAAACACTCATGTACATATAATAAAAATAAGTAAGCAAATAAAAATTTAAAATTAACACCCAGATACCAGTAACTTTTCTATACACCAGCAACAAACATACTAAAAAGGAAATCAGGGAAACAACCCATTAACGATCATCTCAAAAAACATAAAATATCTTGGAATAAATCTAACCAGGAAGTGAAGGACTCCATAGCTTCCTATCCTTTAAGATACAGAGAAATTAAAGAAGGTACCAGAAGAAGGAAAGAAATTCCATGCTCATGCATTGGCAAGATCAATATCCTGAAAGTTGCCATCCTACCGAAAGTAATCTACAAATTCATTGTGATGCCCTCTAAAATTCCAACCCAAATCTTGGCAGAAATTGAAAAATAATCTCAAGTTCCATATGTAAACACACATACAAAACCCTAGGATAGCCAAAATAATTCTGAACAATAAAAGAGTGCTGGAGGCATCACCATCCCTAATCTTAAATTATACTAGAGAACTACAGTAATTGAAACAACATGGTACTGTCACAAAAACAGACACATTGATCAGTGGAATACAACGGAGGACACAGATTTAAATTCATGCATCTACAGTCCCTGATATGTTACAAAAGAGCCACAAATACACACTGAAGAAAAGACAGTATGTTCAACAAATGTCACTGGTCAAACTGGACTGCGGCATACAGAAGAACGGAACTAAATCCCTGTCTCTCACCACACACAAAACTCAACTCCAAATGGATCAAATACCTCAATATAAGCCCCGTTATCCAGAATCAGAGGATAGAGGAGAAAGTAAGGAATATGTTGGAAGTTATAGGCTCAGGAAAAAAACTTTCTGAACATAACCCCTGTAGAACAAGCATGAAGTTCAATAATTGATAAATGGGAGAACCACATGAATCTAAAAAGCATCTGTACAGTGAAGGACACTATCATTCGAGTGAAGAGGCAACCTAAAGAATGGGAAAAGAATCTTTATCAGCTATACTTCTGACAGAGGGCTAAGATCTAGAATATACAAAGAACTCAATAAGCTAAATGTCAAAAAAGAAATAACCCGGGGATGGAGAGATGGCTCAGCAGTTAAGCGCACTGGCTATTCTTGCAGAGGACCAGGTTAGATTCCCAGCACCCACATGGTGACTAGCAGCCAACTGCAATTCTCATTCCTGGGGAACCAACACCCTCTTCTGACCATGTAGGCACTACATTACATGGGTACATTTACAGACATGCATGCAATACATTCATACACATAAAATAAAAATAACAAATAAAATATTTTTGAAAAAATAACCAAAAACTGTGGCAAGGACATGAACAGGGAGTTCTCTA